GCAAAAATTCTTTTTGGAATTTTTCTAGTCTTACCAAGGCTGTCTTGTGGGTTCAATATGACTTCAAACAATAGCTTACAGTTCGGGTAGTTTCTAAAAAAATACACTTAATCCTATATGTCTTTATCAAAATATATAAAATGTTAAAAGCCTTTGTTCAAAATATATCTTTCAATATAAATCACACTTATCAAAAGAAAATTTACCCGCTAAAATACCACTATATTTTAATTGTTCAAGAACAGTTTGAGTATCAAAACAACCAGGTATTCGATCATTATTTGGTTTAAAACAACGAACAAATTTTGGTGAACCATGTATCATTTTTGAAAAAAGCTCTGTTAATGAATAACGAAAATAAGTTGTAACAGTTGCTTGTATACGATTATGACTAGCATTTAATGGTACTAATGTATTTATTAAATCTAAATTTGATTCTGTATGTATTGGATTATAACGTTGAGGTTCATTTTCTTGTAATGTACCCGTTTTTGTTAATGGCAATTGAAATAATGTACTAATTAATTGTACATTAGATGAACGTAAAATTTGTATAATTTCTGGTGCTAAATAATCACGATTTTTTTCAAGAAAACCACGTGCATCATATTGAACTTGTCCAGCAAAATGTATTATTGAAAATGATGGAATTGATTGATGTGTTGATGATGATACTGAAGATATTGAACTCGATGAAAAACTTGATTTTGAACGAATATATGATGGTGAATTAGAAAAATTTGCATTTAATTTATCTACTAATGTATAATCAGTTGCTTTTGGAAAACGACTTTCTTCATCAATTAATGCTAACATTCCAACCTAAATAAAATTCATTGTTTGTAATTTTTGTCTGATATAAATTTCAGAAGAAAAAAAAGTTATGTTTAAAAATTCTTTTTTTTTCTGTAATACTATTGAAATAGATTTTAAAAGGATGTCATACTGAATCAAAGATTATACGAATGTAACATGGATAGAGGTGTAAGCTGATCGGTTGAGCCGCCGGCGAAATTCACAAATTTTTTACAATGTCTCAGCCGTGCCACCACTGTTCCCGTGAATAGTTGCTGAAAATTCCAGCCGCGACCGCTAGAGAATAATGCATTGGTCTACACCTCCTCTAATACTGGAATGATATTGAGATTAACAGATGAACTGTTTTAGAATAAAATGAATCAATATACATAGTGAGGTTTATTCAGCATAATTATTACACTTCAAGAAATTTATTTCGAATTATATTTTATTAAAAACTTTCTCATTTTAACAACAATCATTTGTAAATCTCGACAAAATGAGTTTACATGTAGACTAAGAATAACTCTTAACTAAATGGATCTTCATGAATTTTGAGTATTCAAGTCGACAATTGAAATCGCACTATATTGATTAACATCGTCAACTCTAATAAAAGTAATCTGAGCATGAGAATGTTACTCTTCACATTAAAATAAAATGTGTTGTAGTCTATTGGTTAAACATTCATTTACCGTTTTGTTTGCAGCTACATATAACCGATTCAGTTGAACATACTGAATTTATGCATTTTCATACATATTTTATTCTAAATTTTTCTCGATTAATTGTTGTTTGAATGTTCAAGAATGGATTTTATCAAAGCGGCTCGGACGGAATCAAGTCTACTTGCATTGACTAGATCTCTAAGATCTTATCATCTGGAGCTCCACAAATTGGTATTGCTAATTACAATTAAACTAGAAAAGTAGTAATTGGTCCCTGTATGCAGAAATGATAGATATGTCAAAGGATAGTATAATACATAACTTCTTTTCTCCTAATGATAATATATACGATACAGGCTATAGGAAGTGGCAAATATCATTCTATTCTTCGTTTCGTCGATTCAATCATCATGTTAACCTGCTATACACATTGATTTTATCGTTCAGTAAGCTTCGGAGCACATCATCCCTTCTCTCGACGAACTTTGACACATATTGTTGAGTTTTGCCTAAACCCAGAATTAAATTAGTTCATACTTCTCTGACTCTGCTAGATCTGAAATATCACCGTCCTACTAATTGACACCTACAATAAGAACCTTTCACTTTATTAAATATCAAAACCCGCAATATTTAGACTAGTTAGAATCTACAATAGAAATCTTAGATTATGCTTTGGAAGGTTCTTGAAAGTTCTAGAATGATTTAAGCACTGCTATTACTGATGCGCCTTTTCCCGTTGCTAGGAAAACATACCCAATGATCTTTGACTTTCTTTCTACCATATCCGGTTGCTAGAGCCAAGGAAGATACGGGCTGCAAAAATCTTGTTGCTTGGAAAATATATGTGAGTTCCACAAGGCTTTTCAAAACTATCATTCATGAAAATAAATGAGGCACAGTAGAAGATCTTCGAGAAAGCTTTCTATGTTTGGACATAATAAAAGATCTGGGATGTTTTCTTACAGACAACACAGTTTATTTATCATAATAAATATAATATTATATTGAGAAAATTAATTATTAACTTACTGGTTTATTAAGAAACATATCAAGTAATGGTCTATTATCATAAAATGTAAAATCCATCTTAGGTGGCAATGGTAAAACAGCTAAATTTTCATTAATATATTCTTGTCTTTCACATGCAAAAACATGTTGATTAAAATAATATTGAATTTGTTCATTAGCTATATTAATACATAATTGTTCAAATGTATTTGTTGAAAAATTTTCAAAACCAAATATATCTAAAATAGCTATTTTAAGTTCATTATTATCATTTTGTAATTCATTAATTGGTTGGATTAATAATGTATTTTGTTTAATTGTTGAAATAGAAAATGGTGATGATGATGATAATTGTTTTGTATTAGTTGAAAGATTATTTGATGATTGATAATGTTTTTTAAGATTATTTTCAACAGTTTGTTTTCTTAATGATAAATTTATTTCACTTGTTGCACGATTTGATAAATTCAAACGACCATGTTTTGATGAAAAATTTTTTTTATCAATCATTGATATACCATTTGATGATGCAGCAACAACTTTTGTCCAATTATCAATTAAATTTTTAATTGGTTTATCATCATTTTGACAATGTTCAGATAATGATTTATTATTTAAATCATTTATTTTATTCGATGTTTGATTATTACTATTTGGACTTGGTGATGATGGTGATGGTGATGAATTATTACTTATATTATTATTATTATTTATATTTAAAAGATTATCATCAATATCATCATCATTATCATCTTCAGATTGTTGTAATTGAAGTAAAAATTTTGTTGATGATGGTGTCATATCAAGATAATCAAGTGTACGACGCATTGCACACATAACTGTTGGTGGTGGATATGATGTAATCATTGTTAAATTTGGATTATTTGTATCACATTCTGTATCAAAATTTTCATCAACTTCATTTTCACTTTGATCATCTTGATTATTATTATTATTTGTATTATAATTATTAACTGTATATGATCGTATACTTGAATCTTCATCTAGAATTGTATTTGATTTATCTTTTGATATAATAGCTGATGGTGAAAGAAGTGCTGAAATTCGATTAACAATCCATGAAAATAAACGATTATAAACTAAAATTATAGAAAATATTAAATGAAAATTTTATACATACAAAACTTAATTAAGAGTATAAATACGATATAGATATAAAGAATTTGGTTATTTTACTGAAAGAATTATCTGAAGGACAAGAATAGCAGATTTTCTTGCTTTATATCATTGTGATAACAATAATTACATATGGAAAAGCTGTTAGCACAATCTTTATGGGATTAAAACGTGAAGCGTGATGTAGCTGCTTTTGTTAATTACAGGGAGATTATTGTATTGTATCTATTTTGGAACACATGTCTTCACCACTCTTTTACGTCTGTGATGTTTCTATGCTTGGGTCTACCACAGTCTGGGAGGGAGAGGCCCATATTGACTTCTATACTTCAACAATCCAATAGAACATAAAGAATGTTTCAGAAGTCTGTATTGATACATATTTTCGTATTGTTTTTATAGGAAAAACGTATAGTAAAACATATTCTTGAAACTTCATCTTGCTAGCTCATTCCATAAACAAGTTCTAAACCTAGAACTTTCTCTCATAGTAAAAAGAACATTTAATTGTTATCGTTAATATGTAATATGGCATAAAATGTTATTGTGAATTAAATGCGGTTTAAGCAATTAATTTGCCTTGAGAAATCATTTTGAAATGAGTTTAGAATTTATTGAATATCTAACACATTAACTCGGTATAATCAGTTTCATACGCTATTTCTATCTTTAAAGGGAAAGAATTCTATCTTGATTATAACTAATATATGCTGATGAATTATACTCGTACGAAGATCCTTCTCTTTTAGATACAGAAACATGCAAATGGTGAATAAATTAAATATCAAAAAGAGAATCAGTAAAAGATCAAATAAGACTCTGTACACCACGCATTATTCACAGATGACATTTTGCAAAAACCAGCAAAAAAAATTGATACGTTTCATAATGTCACAATCAAAGAAAAGTGGTTTTTTTGAACTGTAATATTTATTATTCACAGAGAATTCTTTCCTTACAAAGATAGAATTAATTTATAAAATTGATTATATTCAGTTAACATGTTAGATACCCAATGGATAATTGAACTGAAATAAATTTTTTTTTGTCTAATAGAAATAACTTACGTGCTTTCGCCATTGCATCTCTTGTTGCTTGTGATTCTTGTAATGTTGTTGAACGTTGAATAGTTTCACCTCGTGTAACAATATTACATGTTGTTAATGCTAAATCAAATTGTGTTATATCCAAACCAAATAATTCACAAACAATATTTAATAAATATCGATCTGTTAAACATGTTTTACCATCAATAAAATATCCTTCATTTTGATGAAAATTAATATTTCCAAGATGTAATAATCCAGCTAATATACGATAAATTGATTTAATTTCATCATATTGAAATCCAATAATTTCAAAACATTTTTCAATTGTTTTAAATTTTTCTTTAAAATTTTCTGATAAATCATGTTCATCACTTAAATCAGTTTTTAAATATCTATATATTTGATTTTTAGATAAATAAAAAGCTTGTTCATCATTTGGTAATGATGATGCTAAACCATGAAATAAATAGTAAAAAATATGAAAATTTCTTTCAGCATGTCCTTGATTAACAATACGAGTTTTTTCTAATAAATATTCTGATAAACGTGCACCTGTAACACGTCCTTGTCTAGTAAATAACATTTCAAGATATTTACCAAAACGTGATGAATTATCATTAATTATTGTTCGTGCATTACCAAAACCTTCAATTAATGGATTAATTTGTAGAATTTTTTCTTGTAAACCTTTATTTGGTGCATTACCAAGAAATGTTAATTGTTTAACAAGAAAATTAGCTGATTGAGTTTTACCCGAACCACTTTCACCTGATATAACAATATATTGATTTTCTAAATCATGTAACATAGCTTGATAAGTAAAATCTGCTAATGCATATATATGTGGAGGTTGTTCACGTTTTATACATGAACGATAACGTATCATTGCATCTTTACCATATATAGGTAATGAACGAAATGGATTAACAGCCTGAGAAAAAAAATTAAAAGAATTTCTTTAGAAAACAAAAAAAAACTTACAACAGCTTCCAGGATCTTCTTTTTTTAGAGATTTATTAGGATTTTTTAAATAAATTCTGATATCAGTTACTGTTACAGAATTTAATAGGATTTATAGGGGTAGGTGTTCTGTATAATAAATCTGCTGAAAGAATAATACATTCGAAATAGATTCGGTAGGATGTAGTTATTCGGTATAATATGGCAGAAAATATGAAATTTTCAAGTGAACTCGATTTTTATGGCAAACGACCATTTTTCGGAAATTCAATATCTCGACAAAGGAACATTCTTTTCGGCTAAAACTTTCAGGATATTCTATGGATTATTAGACTTAAAGAGTGATCCAAAAGTCTTGGTCGTTATTATAAAAACTATTCGTTCTTCGTAATATGACCCTAAATTTTCAGATCTCTAGTTCTTATTATATGGGAGATATATAGATTCCTATGATAGAAAAGATTTTTTTTCCATGTCCTAAAAATTTTTATTCAAAAGAAATATCTAGAATAATTAATTTTCACTATTAATACAATAATAGACAACAGAATATTTTACATTTTTCATAAATCTTTACAATCGTTTCTTGTTGACTGAATAATCTTCTTTGTTGATTAAATAGTGTGATTTTCTTGGTATTGAATTCATCAATTTTGAGTACATTTGTGTACTGATTACTCTTACAATCCCTATAATTTTGTTTTTCAACATCGATTTTTTAATATTTTTGGGATATTAATATTTAGTAAATGCGATGAAATTACATGTCGAAAAACCGATCGCAAAATGAGAACTTGTTGAAAAAGATTTGTTGAAAATGAGTGATGGATAATGGTCATATGTAATTATACATTCAATCAGAGTTAAAGATATTTAAATAAATGTACTATAGACATCTAATTAATCTAAAGGTATAATTCGATTCATTACAATTCTCTTTATATTTTCTCATTCTGATGTCTTTCTTTTTACTTTTTCTTTTATTCTTTTTTATGTAAACCATGCTAATCTGATTTTTGGGACATAGGAGAAAAAAATCTTCTCTATCACACAAACCTATATGTTTTCCCTATAATAAGGATTAGAGATCTAAAAATTTAGGATAATATTCTTCTAGTTACAAGGGAATTAGGCTTCCAGTTTTAAGCAAAATTTTATGTCGAAATTCTGATCTTTGATTGTTCGACATATATCTAAAGCTAGTCCGAAAACTCGATCCTAGAGACCCATAAGCATAAATCCTTTTTAGAATTTTTTCTAGTCTTATTGAGACCTCCTTGTGAACCCAATATGAGCTCACACGACGGGTATCAGTTCTAGTAGTTCTCACGTAAGCTATTCTCAGCATTGTTAGTTAACTGTAAAAATTTTAAAATAGTGATTGTTAGTATAAATCGGTCCGTTGAAAGATCAATATATTGAGATGTATTTAGATGAGTCTTAGAAAAGACATCTTAGTTTCATAATATACGATATAGGAAAAAAATATATCGCAGATCTTCAAAAAAGATTCCAAAAAAAAGTTCCAGTAGTCTCTTAAAACTTACAACAAGAATATCACCAATATAAGTATAAATTTGATTTGATAAAAATCTATTATACATATAAGTCATTATTGATTGTTCATCAAAATTTTCTAATTGTGCTAAATCATCTGTTGATATGGAATTATTTGGATAATATGAATCATATGTTGAATTATAAAAATAGTTATTAGAAGATTTTTTTTTCATTGACGGATGACGAAGAGATATATCATCAGAATTTTGATCATATAAATAAACTTGTGATGAACGATTATCACTTGATATTTGTTTTTGTTTTTGTTTTTGTTGTCGTTGAGATTGAGATTTTCGTTTTGTTTTATAATTTTGATTATGACATCCATTGTCAATAGGTGGTGGTGGTGCTGGTCGTTTATGACTTTCATGTGGTTTACTAATCATTTGTAACATACGTTTTGAAGATTGAATAATTGGCTCTACAGTTGGTGAATATACTATTGTTGCTGTTTCAATAGCAATTGATGAACATGTTTCTGATTTTCCTCTAATATGTCCATTTTTAACTCCACATGTTTCACGACTTGTTTTTTTAACACATAAATCATAACAACGTTTATTACGTTGAACAATTTGTACAATATGACGACGTGCTTCAATACCATCAGTAGGTATTTGCGTTAGAAATGGATGATTTAACATATATGCAACTGTAGGTCGAGCTTCAAAATCTTTTATTAAACATTGACGAATAAAATCATTAAATTCATTTGACCATTCTTCAGGTTGACGTAAACATGGAGGTGGATTTCGAGGTATAGAAACAAGTGCACGCATTGGATGCATTTCAGCAAGTGGAGGTTCACCTTTAAAACATAAGAAATTTTAAAAAAAACTTGTCAGCACAGCCCATATCGTCGTAGATGTCTTAACTACATTTTCCCTTTTCGACGCAAATCGTGCAAGACATTGTTGATGTTCGATCAAAGATCATATATCAGTAACGTTTCCTTCTAATATATGAACTACCTTCTTATTCTATTCTGAAGGATGAAGTAAAAAGATAGTGAAGACATATGTCCGAAAATAGATAAAATAAAATAATTTCCCTGTGATTAGCAAGAGCAGCTATATCATGTGACGCATTTTAATCCTAGAAGGATTGCACTAATAGCTTGTTTTTTTCGTTTGTCTTGTTGCTATTCTCTCATTGTTTTTAAATTAAAAACTGCACTATTTACACTATTCAAATTCCCAGGAAGACTTTGGAATGTTCTAGAATACGTTAAGTCTTATTGTTAATGCTATTCATGATCTTTTCCCATGACTATGGAAATATATCCAATGACAAAACATATTCATTGATCTCTGAGCTTTAACTTCGGTTGCTAAGATCGAGCAGCAAAATCTCAACTTAAGCCTTGCATTTACTATATTTTTCTTCAAAAAAGATACTATGAGTTCCACAAAAAAAAAATTAAATTAAATTAAAAATAATTATACCTTCGGCTATTTCAATAGCTGTAATACCAGTTGACCAAACATCAGCACGTGTATCATAATTACAATCCATTTGTCTTTCACATGCAATAACTTCAGGTGCCATAAAAAATGGTGTACCAACTGATGTATTACGTCGTCCATTTGTCAGATTAAGATAAGCACTAACACCAAAATCAATTAATTTAATATGACCATCACCTGTTATTAAAATATTATGACCTTTAACATCACGATGAACAACATTATTTGAATGAAGATGATATAAAGCTTTTAATGTTTCACGCATAATATAAGCAATTATTGATTCATCAAGACGTTCATTTGATTTAAGCATTGATTTAGCTAAATCAGTAACACTACCACTTGTACATAATTCCATAACTAACCATAATTGATCAAGTTGATAAACTGTAGATGCTGCTGTTGGACTAATAAAACTATTTATTGAATTAGTTTCTACGGAAAGTAAACTTGTTTTATCAATAAGTGTTGGTGATGAAATAATTGGATTACGAGGTGGAGGTGGTAATGGTGGTGAACCACGTTTTAAATAAGCACCATAAAAACGACAAAGATTTTCATGATTTGAAAGTTCAAGAAGTACACGATATTCTTGTTCAATTTCTTCGAGAACTTCATTAGTTAAATGCATAATTTTAACAGCAGCATTAAAATCAGGATTACGAATATTTTTTGCCTAAATAAAAATAATTGATTAATAAAACAAAAACAAAAAGAAGAGTTTTGCTTTTTTTTTTAATCTACTTACACGAAATACTTCTCCATAGGTACCATCACCAATATTTTCAAGTAATTGCCATTCACGATCAGGTAATGGTAAATCATCAAGTCGAACAAAATTTGTTTTTTGATGATTAGATGTTAATGATATTGTTTGTTGTTGTTGTTGTCGAGATGGTGGACGTGAACGAATACGAGGTGGAATAGGTGGTATTGGTTCCGGTGGTGGTGGAGGATGATGATAAAGTAATTGTGGCATTTATAACTTTAACAAAATCGAATTAATTGTAATTCTAAATTGATCAACTACTAAATAAGTAGAAAAACGAGAAAAAAAAACGACGTGATTGTTAACGTTCTTCTTTCATATTGAACAGTCGATGTCATTTGTTTCTCTTGTTCTATTAATCCATTCAATCAATAAAACCACACCTTATAGCCAACAAATCATTAGCGAACACACGTCTCATCAATTAATTTTTCTTTTCCATAGACAAAACAAGGAAGGAATATTGTTTGTATTATTCTTTCTCTCTCTTTCTTTCGTCAAAAAAGATGTTGTCTGTTACAATGATCAAATAACATATTGTTCATTGTCGAAGATTAGTAAAGCATGATTTTTGACTTGCATGAAATATGTTTAACATAAGTGAAAGTCAATAAAAAAAAAACAAACATTGTCTCTTACTCCATTCGTCCGTAAATATACAGATCGGTTAGAAAGAATAGGATTGAGACAATAATCAAGACTAATCTCTGATAATTAATACTCAATTATTGATATTAGACAAAAGAAAAAGTCGAATAATCTTATCTAAAATAACACGTACGAGCATTAGTTTTATCATATGTAAATATAGATTTGTGTCCTTTTCTTTTCTTTTTTTTTGTCTTCTATCATCAATTAATTTTCATTTAGTATATTAGAGGCGATACTAACATGACGACTGCTTACAGATTTATTGAATGAACATGAAGCAAAGAATTATATTATTGATCTATTCGATTATTTTATTTGACAAATTCTAAGAGAAATTGCAGAAGAAATATTTTAGCTAATATATTATTTGAAAATGTAACGCGTATAATTTCTTTATATAAAATAATTGGTCATTTTACCATTTTTTAGATTGATTAAAATTGCATAGCGCAATCTCTACGGGATTAAAATGTAAAACATGATGTAGCCTACTGTTGCTAATCACTATGAAATTCTATCTGTTTCGGGACACATTTTTTTTTACTTAGTCTTCCCGAAATATTATAAAGAATTAATTCATATATTATAATGAGACGTTATTCATATATATGGCTTTTGATCGTGTATCAACAACGTCTGTCACGGTTTGTGGAGAAGGAGAGATTCAAATAAGAATCATTTATCCAAAGGGCATATGGATTATAGACTTTGGTAAATAATGATCTTTGTTAAAAATTATCAGTCTGAGATATTATTTCGTTTGATATATTTCTGCAAAGTTAAGAATTTTGTAGCTGTTGTGTTTAGTATGGCAAATAAAATTAGCTGAAATATAGATTAATATTTTCTAATTTAATTTTCAAAGAATAGACTTTCTTTTCATTAAACTGTTGCGCATTCGTTTATCTAAGATTTGTTTGCCTGATGAGAGAACTCATCCGACTGAAGTACTCCGTTTGAACTTATATTTTGCTAATAGGTAGCACTCATTATGTAAATAAACACTCTAAAAGGATTCCCACCACTAGATTTTTCTTCTTGAGTTATGCTCATTTGATTGAATTTTCAATCTATAATAGGACATTACGAAATAAAAAAGAGAGACAGAAAAAATCAGTCTGAAATTTTTCACAATAATAAATCTTATGATATTCTGACAGTTTTCACTCAAACAGATGTTTCTCTTCTGAAAAAACACGTTTTCAAAAAAAAAAAGCAATCTTCTGACGAAAATTTCAAAATTGTCCGTTTTTTTTCCGGCATCCGATGTATTAAAAAGAAATTGTCCATTTGTGCTGAAACTTTCAGAATATGATAAGATCTAATGTGGTGAAAATCTTCAAGTAGAAATTCTCTGTTGCTAGTTTTTTTTTTTTCCATAAAATCCTGCAATACACTCAAGAAGAAAAGGGGGAATAGCATGATTTGTTTTAGGGTTCATACGAGAAGAAACAACTGAGACTTCGCTTTTGAAGTCTCGTAAAGTCTCAACAATCTCTTAAAGTCTTTTGAAGTCTCATGAAATCTTTTGAAGTCTGAAATCTTAAAGTCTGCTGTTTCCCCCTCGAATGTGGGTATCGGTATGAGTGTGGGGTGGCGGTGTGGATATGTGCGGGTGGATGTGGATGTCGGTGGGGGTTTGAATGCAGGTTTTTTAACTACCCACACCCCACACCCATACCCACACATCCACACCCACATGTCATCTTTTGTAATAAAGTTTAACTTTCAAGAGTTTCAAAAGTTCAGAACTCATGGATTCCAGTCACTGCTGGTCTTTTGTGCACATATGACGCTGTACAGCGCAGGTTTTGTGTAAGCAATAATAATAGTAAATAAATAAAGGCAATAGATGGCATTATACTACCAATGGAATAAAGTGAACTAATAATCATATAGAAGAAAAAACAGTTCTTTATTTTGAAACCTCCTTCAACAATCTAAGTGCTACTATTTCAAATAAACAGGGCACAATTGCACTATTTAAACGCATGATGCATGAAAAAGAATTTAAGTTAGCATTCGTTTCGATCGACCAAGTAGTTACATGCACAAGAGCTCAGCCGAAGAATATTCATTCCACAGGAAGAATCGTTCAAAACTGTTTTCTAATATAATTAGATGCCAAGATTGATCAAATCAAAGATGACTGTCAACCGAGCACAACGCAACTTCGAAGGGTTATTAACAACGTGAACACTTTGACGAATTTGAAGGAATGAATCGATTTTCTTACTAAAATTAATTGTGAGAAAGCATACCTGATTGTAACCGACAGTAAATATTTTTTCTCAATCAAAATATTCTTCAAGTAAATAATAATTTATATCTTTGCTAGAAACAACGTTGACCATGAGCGATGAACTAGAAAATGGTTTCAAGCGAAGATTGTACATATACAGATTACAACGCTGTATGAAATTCTGAAAAAAGTCATGAAACAATATGAATGGAATTCTATTCCGATCAGTTTGGTTACAGTGAATGAAGACAAATCTAGTCAAAATTTGAATCAACTAAAATTTTCGTCAATGTATATTCAAATATTTAAAGATATTTCTCTAATAACGAAATATAAGTAACATTTCATCAAGAACTTGACTACTTATTGTCAGTATCTTGATTGCAATGCATACGGAACAACATGAAACGATTTCAACTGGCTATGTGGTGGTATACTTACCCGTTGTTTGTTCACTCAATGCTCAATCAACTTCGTCGTTCTATGAAAAAATGACATTATTATCTGTGTGAATTTCTTCATTCGTGATTTATACTGTTAAATTCAGAAAATACATTCAAAATATCTGAGTGGCTATCATAAAATCCTCTTTTACTATACATTGTAGACGGGGCTTATCGATTTCAGTTTGTAAGAAACTTATGATTAATATTGTTGAATAATTTCTAATCCACTAGTAAAAATCGAAAGAAATATCATTAGACTTTACCGCGCTGCACCTAAGAAAGTCGATTCGATCTATTTTATCAGTTCCCTTTACTGACATCAACTATTATATGACTGAGTGGAAAATTCTTTTTGCATCTATAATATTAAAAAAATTGCGCATAATAATCGACATTACTAAGTGACACTAAAATTGACTGTTAACGATAATGAATAGCTTCAACCTCTCATCGAACGTTTACGAAAGAAGTTCAGGAACTCGACAGGACGAGAATAGACGAGTGTCTTCTTGATTACAGTCGGTCAATTCAACGAAACCGAACAATTCTATTATGTACTGCTCAATCACACATCCCGATAAAAATGGAAAAGCTGTTTATTAGAATAATTTTGGAAGCACACAGAATCATCAAGATAATTATGAGAAGACATTTTTGTAATAACGAAAAATATATCATCTTGAAGCCAATCAATTTGATTAAACTGTTTTCTACAACAATACTGCTTTTATGCATTATCATATAGAAAATTTTTCAAAAGCACTTTCATTCTATGAAAAACTGCTCGAAATTCATTAAAAAGACGTTTCACCCATTTATCTTCACTAGGTTACTTTTTATGAAAATACTGCTCGAGTACATAAAAAAAAACATGTAATAGCACTTGAATGCATGTATTTTTGTTTTTTCTAAAAAACATTGTGAGAAACTGAAGAAGTTAATTTATTGTTATCGTTCGATTATGATGTTCATTGAACTAATTCATCACTTCAGTCGTACTTATATTACTACGAACACACACTGTTCTATAGCAGTCACACAAAGAGAAGAGAAAAAGAAACACGTATCAGCAAGATCAATACGAGAGAAATGAAGTGTAAAGGTCACTTACGGTTACAAACACTTCTTGTCTTTGAAAAAAAATACGCAACGCAGAATCGATGTTGTAAAAAAAATGACTGCTAAAAGTATTTTTTAGATCGATAAAAAAAAAAAGACTTTTTCACTTACAACAGTTGAATGCATCTGGTCTAAAAATATCGTACTTGATGAAAATACAATAGATAAAGTCAATCGAAAAGGTGATATAAGTATACATGTACATAGAGAAAAAATGTCACGAACCTATATACATCTTCTATAAAATATTTTCCAGCACTGAATAAAAATTATTCGATAGGTATTAGACATTGACAAGGAATATTCGGAACATGCATCTAAAAATAATTAGTGAAACAATTAATAACTTATTTTCCCATATTAAACTTCATCAATGAAACAAATTCTCCGGTAACTTCAAATTTAATACACTTATTTTCGCTATTGATATTTCTATCAATTCCAATATAACAATTTTTTAGTTTTTAGTATAATCTTTAAAAATTATGTATTGGCAATCTTCCACAGACTCAAACAAGCTTAGTACCTGATTCACCTTTATAGTGTTATGGTTTTTACATCAATGTATGCATCAAAGTGTCATCTATGTTACAGTGAAAGCCACACTTTGATATCATTTTATGTTCGAGAAGTTATTCAAAATTTAAAACATTTGAAAAAGTGTTCTTTATTCAAGACGTTGATATATAAAGAATTCACGTGGGTATGATCATTAATTTATACAGCTCTCAAAATTCTTTTTTTTTTTTTTT